TGAACTGGTCTAGCAGTTATGATTTCAGGAAACAAGGTCCCTGGGTGATGGAAACTGTTTACACTGGGCTATTAATCTAAAGGTTGTCTGTTCAAACCCACCCAGTGGTACCATGGAAGAAAGATCTGGTGATCTGCTTCCATAAAGATTATACAGAAGAAAACTCAATGGAGCAGTTCGACTCTAACACATGGGATTGCCATGAGTTGGAATTGACTAGGCAACAACAGGTTTGTTCACTAGTTTGTTTTTGGTTTAATGGGAGGAGAAAGACTGAGTTGGTGTGTAAATAATGCCAGGATATAAATACAGAAGATGATTTGATATTGAGCACTAGTATGCACTCATATGAATGATAATTTGAAGTTAGACCAGGGTTTGAATCTTAGCTTTACTGTTACAGGCATTTAGTTAACTTCTTTAGTTTGTTTCCTCAACTGAACAATGAGAATAATAACACCTACTGACATGGATATTGTAAGATTCACGCGATGATTCTTGGCAAATAGTAAAAACTTCAGAAATGGTCATTATTTTATTTATTCTTTCAAGAGAAAGAGATTGATTGACCAATATTTGGGGTCTCCTAGTAGGATCTGACTCATAGTGACCCCTCCTTGGATTTCTGAGGCGGTATCACTACGGAAGTAGACTGCCCAGCCTTCCTTCTGGGGAGTTGGGCAATCTACTTCCATAGTGATACAGCCTCGGAAACCCAAGGAGGGGTCAGTATGAGTTAGATCTGACTCCATGGCAATGATTGCGTGTTTTTTCTTTTTTTTGCGTTAGAGCAAATTGGGAGTAAATTGAGTAAATTGGGAGTTCTGGTGGTGTAGTGCCTAAGGCTGCTAGACAGAAGGCTGGCGGTTCAAACCCACCAGCCCCTCCTAGGGAGGAAAATGGGGCAATCTACTTCTGTAGTGATACCACCACGGAAATGTGAGGAGTCGCCATGGGTCGGATCTGACTCCACGACAGTGAGTTTGGTTTGGTTTTTTGGTTTAGAGCCGAATGAGAGGAACTTTGGTGGTGCAGTGGTTAATTACTTAGCACCTAACCCACCAGTTGCTCTGCAGGAGAAAGCTGCTTCTGTAAAGATTTACAGCGTTGGAAACCCTATGGGACAGTTTAATATGTCCTACAGCTCTGGTAGCATAGTGGCTAAGACACTTGCCTGCTAACCAGACGGCTGGCGGTTCAAACCCACCAGCCACTCCTCGGAAGGAAGGTTGGGCAATCCTA